TGAGTAACCTATTGTATATATCATATAAGACTGAAGATTAAGTAACAGACATCAATACAACCTCTGATCCTTTGTTCAAAATCATAATAATTCCAATATAAATTTCTTAAACAGATCCCATAATCTCACAACTTACAATATTACAGGAATTCCAGTTTTTTCTGTAACTTGCAAAATATCACAGTCAACCCACAATGTCTATACAATCTGACCAGTGTGAAAAATATCTCTCTGCATCTACAAATATCAAAATCCCTTAACAAAAACGAGGGAAAATACAGGTCTATAAAAATACAGATAAAACACAACCACACTGTACCATCAGGAATAAACTCCAGTTTAATCTCTACATATCCCTATCACATCTAGAATCAACGGTACAATAATTTGTCTAGATCGTTTATCACAAAATAAATAAACACAGCAACTAGTGGGGTGGAAGACAGGGGGAGGTTGCAGGACAGCTGAATCCTTTTTTCATGAGCGAATGATGCAAAATGGCACGGCTATATTTATCTTTTTATTACATGTTGCAAAGAGGTTAATCAGATCAACTAATAATTTGAAAATAACTACCAATAAATTATCATACATTACAAGAAAAACTTCTTTATCATGTCTAAATGCTCATAAATTCATATTAAATATATTAGATTACATATTCTTTATCATTTTATATATTAAGTTATAAATTTCATTCATATTATATATAATAAAAATGGTGTCTACATAAATTTTTAAGCATGAAGAAGAGGAAAAGGAGTAAGATATGATGGGGAAAAAAATAATAATAATCTGAAAAACAAGGTTTCTGTTTCTACCTTTGTAGTGCTACAAATCACATCAATCAAAAGAACAGTAATTATTATAAGAAAAAAAAAAAAAAAAAAAAAAAAAAACACACAGCATAAAACCCATCTCACTTCTATTATTCATCAGCAATTTCTTTTTATAAATTTAGTACATACTTTTCAATTCTTGTAGCTTAACTCTTTGAAAGCTGCAGTTAATTTTCCTAGTGGCTGGCACCATAAGCGAGTCATCTCCTGCCTCCCCCCAAAAAGAAAAAAAACAATAGCAGCAGCACAGAGCAAAATATGAATACAAGTAACTAATCAATCTCAATCATTACCAAAAAATGCCACTCCTAACCTTCGGGATTTTAATATCAATTGGTCCAAAGCCCTATTACTGCACAGAAGGAATAATTGGACAGCGAGATAACATTCTCAATAAGTAAAGTGCCTAAAATACCCCAAAACACTTTCATTATAAAAATATATCTCATCAAATATAATAAAATTTATAGTCTCTTGTACAGGATAAAAAATCTTCCTCACAAAAAAAACAAGATACTTGGGTATATGGGTAGAACACTTTGTTCCCATTCATTACAGTACTATCCCTGTACAACACATTGGCATGTGCTAATAAAGGAATCCCCCACTTAAAGTTCCTAATATGTTCTGGGTTTGATCATTTTGCAAAGACCATGTCATATTGATAAAGAATGCAACTCAAATCAACACTTTACTGCTATCTTTGAAACCTATGAGCAGGTGAAGTGTTTCATGACATGGTTATGACTGTAGTAGTGCAAACAGCACAATTTGCATTGCATCTGGAAGCCACAGAACATGATTTTGCTAGATAGACCAGACATTAGTGCAAATCAACAGTGGCAGACCTTAAGCAGGGGATGACTGAAGTACAAATGTCAAAATACATTTCATTTTATACACACATGATATTGATCACATTCTTAAAAGTACAATTATGAAATTCATCACAGTGTCAAGCATATTCATATTAAATAAATTCCTTAAGCTCTGGAGACATTATCACTTTCATCACTGCTTACTGAGTGTGTCCGCACTCTAACCCTCACAACTGAGTTTGGGACAGCTGTGTATTCTGCAAGGGAAAGTTTAACATCAATTAATGAAATATCCATAGATGCATACAAACCAGTGAAAATTACTAGAAGTCAATCACAACTACAACAGTGTATAAATATCACAATAACAAAATAGTGCAAGGAAAAGCTGCACACATCACAATGTCTCAACTAATATGGTAATCTACATTAGTGGAACTGTCATTAATCATAATTCATTTTTTTTCAAAATGCATAAGATTTAGGCAACAAACCTCCACCTCCCGTTGCAGCAGTTATTTTATCACCACACGCACACATGCCAGGCCCAACCCCTGCAGCTGACATCATGCTAATGGCAGGCCCTACACATGCTACTGTGCTAACTTTGGCACAAGAAGGACCTTTCCCTATGAGTGCATCCTTAGTGTTTGATGATGCTTTTTCCGACTCCTTACCTGAGAGAAGACTGCATCTGTAGTAAAGGCCTATTGAGCCCAATCTTTACCAACTAGAGACAACATGGAAAGTGATAAGCATTCAGGAGTATTACATATGACTTGGCCTGGAACTGCACTAAAGTACAGCATGAAGCACTTTGGTTAATAAAGTTTAAAACTACCAATGCTACAGCAAGCTCATAAAAGGGGGTTAGTTAAAGCCACAGCTTTATAATCTCAAGCTACTATCCATAACGACTACACACCTTCACCTTGTGCTGAGCAAGTGCTGTCACCACAAACACCCATTCCTGGTCCAACTCCAGCTGCTGCCATTGTACTGACTGCAGGCCCTACACACGCTACTGTGCTCATGTCTGCTCTGATGCAAGCAGGTGCATTCCCCTCGGTGTTTTCCTCTGTTTCTCTATTGCTTGAGTTGGCTATGGGTGTGGCTGAGTTTCCTGTTGCAGTGTATAAAGAGAATCCTCATTTACATATTTTTTATACAGTATTTAGAATTAAGGAGGGGTGGAAATCAATTATAGAACATTTACACTATGAGTATTTATAGCAGCCAGGTTCTCAAATATATATGTATTTACTTTCATCAACCCAGAAATAGTGAAAATACATCATCCTTCAATCTTTCATTTCAAATTACCAATACTTATTTAAATATCAATATCACAAATACACTTACAACTTACATATGAAGGCAAATATCTAAAAATAGACATATCTCTAAAATTAAACACTAAGTTGCATCACATTTCACACATCTTTGCAAACTTCAACAGCCTAATGAGGAACACCTAACAGGGCTCCTCATACCACATATATTCAGACCATTCACTCATCTATGAATAAAGAGCCAATCCTCCATGCAAAATACACTTTTGTTGTTGTTAGTTTTACTCACTAACCGATAATGTGAAGAAACTGAATCAACACTTGAACCTTGGACTGGCAACTTACCTTTCGAGCGGTCACCTATTTTGGCAGGCAGGAGAGTGAGGACTGCCAGGAGGGCGAGGACTGCAGCTCCGCCACAGCAGTAGAAGAGGATATTGCGGTAATATTGAGAGCACAATGGACAACATGCTCTAAGAGTTGGGAAGAAATATATACTGTAATAAGTGAAGTCTTCAACTGTCTTAACAGTCAAAACATTGTTTACAAATTTTATTTACAATATAAACATATTGTCAACATCACCAAACTAGGTGACTGATGATGATAAAATTATACTTATCATCTATCAGTACACACACTAAATATGGTAAATCTAGCAAATTAAAACTGGCAATACCAAAGCTGTCAGAGAGAAACTGCTTCTTCAGTGAAACAGAAAAAAAATGCTTTCTAATGCAAGTTGCAATTACTTATCACCCTAAAGCAGAAATCTCTAAGACAACCTCACTAAAGTATATTTTCTCCTCTTCTTACTTTCCTTTTAAAAGTATGAGACACTAGAGCTGATGAAGAAGAAAACCAATAGAGAAAAGACAAAGAGTAAAATGAGAGTAACAGGTAACAGTGAAAAAAAAATGTAAATGGACATTTCTAATTTCCATTTACCATAAGGAAAAGTATAAGGGTATATATAAAGTTATGAAAATTGGATTATAACAAACCAAATATTTACATGGAAATGATGCCATCCAACCAATCATTTCCCTAATCTGGAGAATCATGAAAGGGTTGATGCAAGGAATGATGATCTTAATGTTAGAGTAACAGACACCATGCAACTAGTGTTAACTAAACATGCACTTGTAGAGGTACATAAGCACTTCATGCACAAAAGTTGTATTTACGCACCTAATGGGGTTTGTGCTGAAACAAATGTTAAATGTTAAAGTTAATCACTACAATTCTTTTAAACTGTGTTTTAGCTGATGCTTTCCCATTATAATTAAGATTCTTTATCTTAACATTCACATAAGCTTCCTGATGCAACAGCAACAGCCTTGTCTAGCTAGCCCAGAATTTCTGTGTGCAAGTATTAAGCATGTAGTAGCAAATAAAACATTGCATGTCAAACCATGCAAAAAAAATTCAAATACCACATAAAATAGTACTTTTGAGATAACTCATTTACAGGCAAGAAAAATCAATAAATAACTCAACAATATAGACACAAAAACAGACAAAACAAGTCAAAGACAGACAAGACAAGACCCTCAAAGAGAAGAAACACCAAGCCACATTGTCTGCGTGACCCCTCAAGAGATCTGAGACTTGCAGAACTACTTACGTGCAGGGATTCAGGTTCTGGATTAGCATGACGGCCACCCCATTAGAGAGCTTGTCTGTGAAGCTCATGGCCCCATAGACAAAAGCTCCTGACTCAATATTTGGGCCAATGAGGTCTGCCGTGATGGAAAGGGACGTGATCAGCATGATAGAGCCTCCTGCCCCTAGCAAGGCTGTCACCACATACAGGATGTACTTGCAGTAGATCTCACCCTCTCCAAGCCAGATGCCGATGCAGGCTCCTCCGCCTATGAGGGCGCCTAGGATGAAGGACGCCTTGGGGGGTGGTGATAGTACAAGAACTGAATTTAGAGGAGGCATTTATGTCACAAAGAAAATGATCACCTCAAGTATAAAAATCTCTAGAGGGGAAAAGGATACATTTCCATGTCATACAAAAAGCACAAAAGCTAAAATAGATACCA